GCTCTTTGTTCTGGCCAAAAACAACCATGACAGGCGGTTGAACGTCCTGGTCCAGGGAAATATAGCCAATTTCCAAGGCCGAAAGTCATTCAGGGCATAATGGTCGGGGTAATATTTCCCTCATAAGTACCCTTCTAGAACCGCTGGTAAAGATTTCCTGTCGCTTGCCATTTCGTAGTGACCGCACATTTAAAATACAAACTCTGCCCTACTTATGGTCCACTACATATGGGGACAGTTATGGCAACAGTCACTTCACGATAAATCTCTTCTATGGACCTCACTAAGATCACTAGAACGATCTAAAATAGCGAAAACAGAAGGCATACCTTCTGCTGATGTAATCATCCCGTTAGAAAGGTTCCTCTTGCCTGGCAAAAGGTATCGTGCCCAGTCAAATTTCTAAAGATTGTTTCCTCTGGATGCCTTTCTGTCATGTTGGCTGGAGCTTATCTAATATATGTTAAAACTCACCTGGTAACTCCAGTTCCACATATGAAAAGGTTCTGGTATTGACCAAAAATCTTTTCTGAGGACGTTACTTCACGGCATTTCAGGTTGCCACAGCAGCAAGAAGAACGGGATAGAGTTCCCATGGTCAGCTTATTGGATCAATTCGAAACCGCAAAGGTTTTTTTTCTGACCTGGGTTTCGATATCCTGTTCAGCCGTGGCTTTTGGGGCTATATATACCATTTAGGCCTTAAACTACCTGACCAGCTACATCATTTGGGAGGCAGTTCCTAAAAACAATGCAGCGTTGAACATCTAACGGTAAATTAGTGTGTCAATCGGCCACAAAAGGGGAGAAGTATCAAAAGAATTGCAAATGACGTCTTCGCAATAGGCAGACCTAGACGCAATAGGTTCGAGGATACCACAGCGTGGTGTTTTTCGGTGTGCCCATGAACTCAGGACCCATACCAAATGATGTAAGCCATTGTGGCTATTGCTTCATCTTTCTTGAGAAACTACTATCTGCTCTGTGCTAACGCCGAACCCTTCATGAGGCAAAACTTCATGAAGGGTTCGGCGAGAGGAAAGGCATTGAAAGCGCGATTGTTGCTAAAAACTAATTTAATTGAACTCATTCCATCTTGGAAGTCTGCACAGTTCCTCAGCGAATGGCGGAACGATATCAATACATATGTCTAAATTCGTAGAAGGCCTACTATGGAATGGTCGTTCTGGAAAGAGCTAAATTTTAGGCTCGATTATTCGTGCAGGTAGCAGCCAGTAGTCTCGCGATCAGCAAGTGGCACATGTACTTCATTGAAGGATAGTACTTGACCTGCGTAATTGTTGTTTACTCAACGGGTTTAGAAGGTGAACAGTTATAACTCGCGAGACGTACCGCGGTTCGAGTTGCCACAATGTTTACCCAGCAGATTAGCCATAGATGCTCATGCTGCTGGTCATTCGAGACATGTCAAAGCACAAGGGCTCTTCTATTGAGTACTGTAGCTACAGTTGGGGACCGTGCTCCTATCAAAGTGAATATACTGGATTGGTTATTGTTATTTAGTTTATTGAAAAAGGAATCGAGCAGTAGAGTGATGAGTTAACCCTTCAAGAGGTATAAGCTGTTGGCACCTTTCCGTACTTATTCCAACGGCTTATACCTCCGTTGGTATCCCTTTCTAGCTCCAGGGTTGATAACCATACGATATGCTTCAGGGTGAGGGAACGATGGCCTTCACCTGTATCACCTGCCTGCCTTCACCTGTATCATCATCTACCCATGTTCCCTTTCCTGTGACAACTTGGGAGCCTTCCCCAGAGGATTAATGTGGTCTGAGGATCCTGAAGGGGCTTTGCATGTGATTCATTTCGAAATGGCTGACTGACTATTTAACCGCTAAAATTTTTCACAGCACAGGACGTGAGCATCTCAGGTTTGGTTGTTACTCGGAAAAGAACAAAGTTGTATACATCATCCTTTGGATTCGGGTGATCAATTCATTTTAAAATTGTTCGAAGATTCGAATAGTTCCGTTCGGTTCGTCCTTGTCCTCTCCGACTTTAATAATAGCAGAGACCAACACCCTACATGGAATCGTACAAGAGGAAAACGACGAGAAGTTCAAGATTCTCTGTTTTGTAGGAGAAGCATTCTTTGCATCTAGGATTCTTTGCTGGATTTCAGACCGAACTTGAGAAATCTCCGGAAATAACTTCGCGTTCGTAAGTGATTTGACTCGGCCATGTGGGTTACTCAGCTTAGACCAAAATGAGGCATACTGCATGTTAAGACGACTTCCTCGCGCATCCAAGCGTTCTGTTGACGTGAAGTGAAGCATGTCTTCGTCAACGATGATGTTTGCCGTCGTCGACGGAGCGGAGCGGTAAGCAACTCACTCACCACTAGCTGACACCATCACTTACCGCGAGTGCAAACATCCACCTGCTGAGCTGAGCTTTCCGGTTGCTTATCGCATGCCTTATCTGGAGCTGTGATCTGTATAGGATTTCCAGATGGTGTCGAGTAAACGAGGGACCAACTGAGAAATTCTCGATGCCCTGTAGAGTTCTTGAGGTTTTTCTAGACAGTCTCTATCAATCATTCCTTGGACTGCTTGAAGGAAGGTTTAAAATCTTTTGGGTGTAACAGCTTAATGCCGAATTCCCATTACAGTAGAAGGCTGGATTGGCAATGTTCACGATTTACTGGGTAATCATAGGAGGAATCACCCAAACCAGTGACTTTTCAGTGAATAAAGAAAGCACAGGAAGGCGATCGGGAACTGTACTTCGATCTGCACCATCTAATTCTATTGTTGTTCATACATTTCGCCATTACTGTGATAACATTAGCATCATCAGTATCAGGAAAGGACCATATATTGTAAGGGAAATCCCAGGTCGGACGCAACATGGCTCATATATTTTATATCAAATATTATCAAATAGTGGAAATAATACAGCACCAAATTTTCAGAGGTTAGCATACATAACCATTCAGAACCCGAAAAATACAATGTCTATAGAATAAGAGTAACAAGAATACATAGAATCTACTAAGATATTTTCTTTCTGAGTTGACAATATCTTAGCATTCGCTTCCTGATTCGTGAGACATCCTGACTGCGACTTTCTCAAGTACTGCTGTCGAAAGCGATTTGAGTCCCATTTCTCAATCGACGCTCTTGATTTTACTGGTAGCAATGATGGAAAGAAAATTCGAAATTATTATTTTTTCGGTGGCTGTTCTGACACGAGCATCTACAAATGGTTCACCAGGTTGTGGGTCTTGGGGGTCCTATGGGTTAAGCTTGCTTAAATATCAGTCCGTACTATCTACGGCACGTAGAGAGTGGCTCTGAGTAGGACAGGGTAGAGTAGCTCCTAGCAACTTCTATCTTATCAATTTCATCTTCGCCCTATTTCATGCTTTTTCGTTCAGTTTTGGAATAAGCTGCAATGAATGACAATCAACCAAATTTCACGGGATTCTTTTAGTCCCCTTTCCTCTACCAAGGAATTGGCGGGATTGAGCCGAAGTAGTGCCCATTTGCTACCATTCCTGTGCGTTTTCGCATCAGTCTGGCTTGAGATTTACTGTAGCTATGGTGCGCAATATAATGAGGTGCTTCTGCTTCCCCTCCTTGAATGATGTTGAAGAAATAACGCTTTTCAATAGCTATCATGTAGCGATTCAAGGGAGTGGCATTACACTGGAGAGCACAGCTTAATAGAGGAGCAAACGGCCACTTTGCGGAGCCTCTGAACAGTTTCTACTTTAGAGAATGTGTTATGTTCGTATCCATATAATGGATAACTTGCAAGTCAATTGTTTGATTAGCGTGTATCACAGAAAGACACTTGAGAGCGGTGACTTGATACGACGAGGATATTCCCCTCCTGCCTCTTCTTTACGAGGATATTCATTTCAAAAGGATAGACCGACAACGTCAGGTGCACAAAGCGCCTCAACAAGAGTTTACTGACCCTCTTCGGGAACCAAATGTCCTGGGTGAGGATGACCTTCTCGAATTTTTATTGCTCTAGAACCATAACTATATCCCTGTTGAGCATAGGTCGAAACCAATAACTTCAGACACGCCGAGAAACAAACATATCAGAATCATCCTAGAACCTGAGAACAGAGATGATTAAAACTCTCTAGACAATACAAAAATTTTCATATTTACAAATGTATTTTTTCCATCTCCAGCTCCTGAGAGTCTAGGTCAGTCAGACCAATAGCTTCTATCCTCCATAACCCATGACATTCGACGAATGATGGCTGAAAGACGATGACAATGTACACGATAGAGACGAACGTAACTGCAGGCATGAGCATAACTGCCATATTTTTTATTTATTACTTTATTCTGGCCGTAATATTGTTGCTGGAAGAGTTTGAGGTTTCACAGAACTAGTGAGGATCCTTCTTTGGATTACATGCATGCTCTGAGGGATTTGATCTTCACTGGGGGTAGTGGACACTTTCGACCGGATATCCACAACTCGTTTTATTCCATTTAAGGCATCAAAAAAGGCGAAATCGCAGAAACGTTATTGGCCGATAAAGTTTTATTGAAATTTTCGTAAGAATCAAGACAGAGAACTAGATCAAGCTACATTCAAACTGCCGGGGTTCATGAAAGTCCCTGAAGAGTAACACATTAATGAGCATCCAACTACCTCATTCACTAGTAAGCCCGGAAATGACAGGAAACAGGAGCAGTAGATGATCAGATTAAGGAGTATAATTCAGTAAAGAATAATCCGTAGGCATGTAAGTAAAGGATAAAGTCTTCGGGCGTCGAACAATCCCTTGTGAGGGATGCGCCCATATTCAACCTCCGTTCAGAATTGACGGTACATATTGAATGCATATGTGCCCTATACAATGACTTGTTCTAAACTGGAGGTCCAGGCAAAGGAAATCACTCAAAAAATGACTGACTCATGAATGTTCTCCGCGTAGAAACACAGCAGTGGTTGGTATTCAATAGCAGTGGTGTTAGAAATTTATAGTTTTGAGCATTGAATCACTTACTTTGTTCGGGGCTTTGTTGCCGATTTCCTGTAGACATCGTTCATGTAGTACTGGGCTTCGCGACAAAACTCGCAGCTCTTAGCGCAATAGATTCGCATCGTGTTCCTACTGTAATTACAACATGACAACTTCCAGAGCATAAAATAAGTCAAGGGAAGGATTGGATTCTAGAAGAAGCACCTGTATGAATGTTCACACATTCCACTCTCAGCAAGTTCGGTACACGTTTCTAATTCGTCCTTGCACGGCGGCAAACTGTCTATAATGCTACCAATTGCAGTTCCTTGTTGCCACTATCATGTAGAAGAATATGGGAAATAAAAAATGGGGATGGGAAGTCAAGTAGAACCTTGCCCTATCAGGAACGGGTATCCTAGCAAGCAGGGATCTCATGCGCATGTACTCGTGTGTAGGACACGTCATGAGCTGTTGAAGCAACTGTTTCCCTGCAAAAGATCCCAAACTGTTAGGAGCTTAACTTACCTGCAAGTGCTGGCGGTGTAGCACAAAGTCTGCAAGTTCGGGGACAGTACTCAACAGCCATTGGAAGCTTGCATCCACCAAGTCGACGAACTTCATCACAATCAATTTTAACGGAATCCAAACATTGTAGACCTACAATTTTTGGCAGACTGAGGTGGCGATGAACGTAAATATTCTCAGTGTTGTAATGAGAAAAATTTCGAAAAACAAAGATCAAGTAACGATTAGAGAGCTAGTCTTCTTCTGAATCCCGTGTGTTGTTTGAGTCCCTGGCTTTTACATTGCATTTTATCGTAAAATCGATGATATTGCGAAACAGATCCTAATCTTTTTGTGAAAACTGAGGGACCGAAGGCAATCTCCCCACAGCGGTGATTATGCCCTCATGAGATCATCGGCCTTCAATTCTGTTATTATAAAAGCACAAAGGAGCTGCAGGGGAAAGGGCTGGCCAGATTTCGCAGAGATGTCCCCAATACAAAAAAAAGATAAGAAAGTCACAAGGATTTTGGTATTGGAATCATAGCAACCTGAAAAGGACGACATTAACGTATCGTGGGCCTGCTCAGCTATTTGGAGTGATGATTGATTTTCACGTTTTCTTTGAATGAGGTGCACGACATGGGCCTAGTGGCAAGTGGCGCACAAACCCACGTATGGTAACGGGTTCAAATTCTAACGATAATCGCCTATCCCAACCGAGCCTTCCGTTCTTTCAGGGTCGGTTTCAATTGGTACAAGAGTCGCCTGGGACGACAAAAGCACTGACTTGTGAATCGGCTGGCCGCCGCTGTTCATTGTGTAGGCAACACACGCATTCAATACGCCTCTGCGATTCTGATTGGAAGTCGAACCCGGGAGCACATCCCTCAAACGAGCCTGACCAACATTTAAAGACTTGGTCCTTTCCCCTTTAATAAGCCATCGAAGAGCACCGAAGTTCTAAAACGAAGTTCCATTCTGACTATATCCTTTTTTGTGCAAAGACAACGTCATTATGATAATATACAGAGCGGAGTCTCAATCCCTCACAGTGTTGTCCATTGATCTCCTGACCAATTCCTCTGAAAACTTCTGAATTCCACCTCTACTTGATGAATCATAACACGAACAAAAGTCGGAAATCAATAAAAACCCC